TGCCATCTCTCCGAGCTCGCCATGTGGCCGCCTCCGTCCGTTGGCTCCGCTTGGGTCCGCCGGCAGCGGTGCACAGCTACTGACCTCCGGGAGACGGAGAGCGCGAGGGCTGCCTTCCAGAAACCCGGGGGACTGGGGCTTGCACTGCGCCCAAGGCGCGCCACGCAAGTGACGGGCGGTACACCGTGTGCGTGTGTGTCGGTCCCCACCGTCTCACGCGTGCACCCCTGAGTGACTTATTTACATAACGCTGTGCACGCAGCACGCGGGACCCTCGTTTTACACACTGAAGTCCCGTTACTCTTCTTCACACAGCGTGCTGGAAAAGCCGCGGGGTCCAGCTCCAGCGAGGGAGGGTTTACAGCTCTACCCCACTAAGCGGCTTAAGTTAGCATTCTGGGCCTTCAATGGCGCGCGCGGTTCTCACATGTTCCCATCCTCGGGATGCGGAGGGGAGGGGATCACGCCGTAGAGAGGCGGTCCTCTGCTTAGAACCAGCGTTTGGCTGCTGGTCTCCTGCAGGGTCCCCATCTCCTGTCCCACCCGCTTTTCCGTGTCCTTATGTGGCCTTGCGTTTGAAGAACAACGTGCCTTAGAAAACAACAACAACAAAAATAATCCAAACCCAGGAACTCCAGGGACTTCGTACTCTTAGCATCCTCCTTCACTGCCCCAGTCACTTCTACTTTGTTTTATCTCAGACTCTGCCTTAGCTATTATCTCCAGCATAACGATTCAATTAGGCAAGACTTAAAGGTTTTAGTTGCTATGGAGATCTCATCTCCATTTAAAGAGAAAGAAAACAAAAACAAACTTTGTACTTGGTCTCCCTCAGGAATAACGTGAGGATAATAAAAGACTCAGCATTCAGAACATCTGATCAGTTTGTGGAAGTGGGAGTAAAGAAAACGCTCCCAGTTACAGAAGATTTCATTGTGTCCCACAGACACTGTTCAGGTGAGGATGACAGAATCACCCCGAAGGGAATGAATGAGAAGTTGTGTGTGGCTGCTCTGTTCTTTTTGCCTGTTCCATTCTGGGTTGGCAGCTGTCTTTTCCCTGAGCCTTAGAAGAACATCCTTTAGGTTGTTCCACAGGATTTTACAGATCTAACAGGTTAATTTAGATTTGAGGTTGGTCCTCAAACTGCTTGCCACCTGGAGAGAGAGAAAAAAGCTGTAGAAAAATGACAAAAAAAAAAAAAGTGATCTGAACAAAAGAAATGGATTATAAAGTCATGACATTAAAACTTGAAAATATCCAAGTTTACATCTGTTTTGGAATGTTTAGAAAGAAATATTCTTCCAGTTCCATGAACGGATAGTACATTCTTTTGTCATAGCAATGTTACTGTGTGACTTAAGGTAGTTACTTAACCTCCTTGGAGTCAGCCTCTTCATCAAATAAGAGATTATGAACTAGATGATCTGTTACAATTGTAATTCCAGTAATGACAAGAACTAGAAAATGACCTTTATTCTTGGTAACTCAAATTACAATTAGCAGGAAGTTAAAGTGATCAGGTTCATTCAAGTTGTAGTAACTGTAAGCCTCTGATAGGTAGCTGATAAATGTTTTATTCTATTTCTCTTTAACAAAGTCACCTCTTGTGGTAATAACATACTAGAAAAAGACGACTTCAGAATTTGCAATATTACGTCCAAAATTCCTCTCGGACGCGAGAGCATTAAATATGTATTTCTTTTGTTTGTTTTTCCTTTTCTAACATTCTATATATGCTCCTGTTTGCATTACAGTGAAGAAAAAAATAAATAACCTCAAATGCTGTTTTTGGAGAACTTTTTTAATACTATGCACATGATATGGATCCATAAAGAGTATTTAGTGACTAGAAAACATTGCCATCCCATGGTAGGCCTTGTAATGAGAACTGTAATTATCATTTGACTTTAGGCCTGTGCCTAGTCTTTTCACTAAATGTAATATCTTTTAAAACAGGTTGCATGAAATTTTTGAATATGTTCAGCCCTCATAGGAGCATATGGAATTCTCTCCAGGGCTCACTCGTCAATTTACTTTGGTAAACAAAAATTTTAAAAGGCTCAGCCAGTATTTCCATCTCCAAATTTGTCTAAGTCTGAAATAGTGATTAAAATCCCTTGATGGATACTAAGCGTTTATTATGTGCCCAGCAGTGTGCTAGACATTATAGACTATGCCAAAGAAGCATATAGCTTGGCCTCTGAACTTAGAAGTCAACGAATTATTGGACTGTTGGAAAAGTCACGATGTATTTATTCTATATTTTCAAAGGTCACTTGTTTATATAAAGAAGAAAGGTCAATCAATGATATATTGTTTGATAACCTTTTGCTATCTTTCAGGGAGCTTCATAATTTCTCGTTCATAGAAGGACCACTCTTTATTGGTGAAAAACTGAACAAGGTGCTGATTTATAGCCTCATCTGAATTGAACGTTATACCATGTAAGGAGTTTTGAAGAGAGTGAAACAAGCAGAAGTCTGACAGCACAAGGTCGAGCGAATATGGTGGATGTGGTAACGCATCCCATGCAAGCTCCATTAATTCTCCCCCCCCCCCCAGAGGTTTTGGCTATAGGGCGCGAATGCTCTCCAGACAGACAGAGGGAGACAGAGAGTCAGAAAGTGAGAAATCACCCCCCAGGGGGGATTGCCACACCGCACAATCCCTTCTCCCCCATTCTTCTCTTGGGATCATGGGCACACACTCATGCACCCGGCGTGAGTTTAAGCCACCGGGTCCAGGACTCAAACCACGGTTGGCTACATGGGAGTCCAGTGACATAGCCATTACACTAACTACAGGTCCCAGGCTTCATTAGTTTTTGACTGGTGATCAAACTTCTGTGTGGTCTCACGTTGTGGTGATGGAACACAACTTCTTGCAATTAACAAGCTCTGGATATTTTCGGATGATGGATTTGCTCAAACTGTCCAATTGCTGACAGTATATATTCAAGTTGATTGTCTGGTTCCTTGGTAGGAGCTCCAAAGACATGACACCTTTAAAATTCAACCACATTGAGAGCATAACCTTCCTCTGATGATTGTCTACTTTCGATATCATTTCAGGTAAATCATCACATCAGAACCAAGACCGTTTGCACACCACATTGTAAACGATCCACTGCTCAACCCCCATTTTCAGTCGCTTCTAAAAGAATTGTTTTCCTCACGTTTAATGAACATATCACAGATGTTTATATGGACCATTGAATGAATTTCTTTGAGCTCATGAGAAACCCAAATATCAAGCTTCCATACATATCCCAGCTTCTTCGGGTGGTCGTGAACATTTGAACAATGGATGCTCAATGACTTTGCAGTCTCTTGTGTCATTTAACATGGGTTAACTCCACCGATTCCTTTGTTTTGTCATCAACCTCGGTGACCAAGGAGCGTCAGTGACATCAAAATCACCAGCACAGAATTTCACGAACTATCGTTGACACTGATGTTCCTGTAGAGCATTGTCACCATAAACCATATGCAACTTTTCACAAGTTTGATATACATTCTTCCCTTTATGGAAGTAAAACAGTAAAATATGGCAAAAATGCAGTTTGGTCTTCATCTTCAACTTGTTATAAAATCTCCAAAACTCAACCAAATTGCTCAATTTCTTTTTC